GAACTCCAGCAAAGTACACTGCTCAAAACTGGGTAAAGCTGCTACCTGAATACGGGGCACATTTTGGGGATAATTGCATCTGCTTTCTTCTTTTTTCCTTTCTGGGTGTGTGTGTGTGTGTGTAAAACCCTGTGACCATTAGCATTTCTGGAATCCTTGGCAATGAGTTTGGATTGCCAGCTAACTACTCTCTGGGTGACTTCAGGCAGTTCACTTAGTGTCTCTAAGCTTCGGCTTCTTGATCTGTAAAACAGAGTGTGAGACGGAGAGGAGTCAAGATGGCGGCGTAAGCAGACTCTGAACTCACCTCCTCCTGCGGACACAGCCAATTTACAACTACTCGTGGAAAAATTACCCCTGAGAGAGAAAAGAGAAGACCACAAATAGGAAAAATTATCTATTTCCATGACAAGAGGGTAATGGATACAAATGCACAAAAAAGAGGTTAGATATGATATCAAAAACATAAAATGAGGGAGGAGGGGAGTTGAAGAGTAGAGCTTTCAGACAGATAACAGCAACACACAAACACATAGGGACAGAGAGTAGATTGGTGGTCACCAGAGGGGAAGGGGGGAGGGAGGAGGGGGAAAGGGATAATTGGGCACATGTGTGTGGTGATGGGTTGTAATTAGTATTTGGGTGGTGAACATGATGTAGTCTATGCAGAAATAGAAGTATAATGATGTACACCTGAAATTTATACAGTGCTATAAACCAATGTTACTGCAATTAAAAAAAAAAAAGTCAAATTCGAAAAACAAAAAACAGAGTGTGAGGGACAAAGGAGGTAATGCACACGAGGGGCGTAGCTCCTGGTATTTCCTCCCGCTGCTGCTTGCTTCCGAGCTGGGGCTGCAGCCTCCTCACACAGGAGAGACCAGTCCGATTGCTGGCCTCTAACCACCAGTAGCCTGTGTCTTCCACCAGAGGGCACCAGTAACCTGGAACATCTCAGAGGAAGGTCCCTTTGCCCTTAAAACAACATTGTTGAGTCTGCCGGAGGATACACCCCTAGCTTCAAGTCTTTGTTTAAATGTTCTTACTCCTGCTGCTTGGAGGAATCATTTGTAAGATCCTCTGAAATCCAGGAGGGAAATCTGGGGAAGATGATTAGAGTAAATGGTACTCTAACTCCACACAGCCACTGGGAGAATTAGATTTCCGTTGCTGATTTTGTCCATTTCTACCATCCATTCTCCATCTCTTCAGACTATCTGTAACCTAGTTACAAATTATTCTCTCAACAATAACCTATTCCAGTTCCTTTCTTCCTGGTTTATTCAAATGAACTGAACTGCTGTTTTTCCCTTTGATATACAGCCTCCCCACTCTCGCCTTCCTTCCGGCAGGCAGGGGATGTGAGGAGGGGATCTATTTCTGCTCCTCTGCCTTATTGCTGAGCCTCCAAAGCTGTTCCCTGAATCCCTTTCTAGTTAGAGTCTGGTGATCGACAGGTACCAATCCCAAGGGGCCATATCCTGTGGCCTCAAAAAGAGCATTCCCCACCTGAGGAAACGTTGAGGGCACCAGCCACCACAGCTCCCTCCAAACATGACAGACTTCAGGGGAGCAATGATGTCCAGTGTCTGTCTGTCCTGTACATACTGTTTATTCTTTACTGTCTTCTTTGTTCTTTAATCTGATGGGGGAGGAAATACAGCCTTAGTTCAGCTTTCAATACTGTACCTGGGAATGCCAGCCCAGACAAGAAAACCCTGAAAGAAAATCAAAAGGGTAAGTCATACATCTTGTTAGGAACACAGAACCACAGAATATTTGGGATGGACAGGACTCCAGAAGCCTGTCAAGCTGTCATTGTTCGGGGAGGAGAAATGACACGGTCAAGGTCACATGGTTGGTTGACGGCAGACTAGCTGTTTTAGCAGGACTAGAATTCAGATCTTTGGCCAGACATACTAGTTCTTGTCACACCATTCCATTTTCTAAATAGCCATCATCACTAACTTTTATTGTGTGCATAGTATGTGTCAGCTATCTGTTTTGTTTGATCTCCTGTAATCGTCACAACAACCCTGTGGAAGAAATGTAGTGTTACATGAATGAAATATGGTATGCCCATTTTACAGAGGCATAGAGAAGTTAAATAAAAGCACAGACAAAATTAGCCAGTGTTCCATTTCAATCAGTGTTTCTCCATAGGTGTTAAGCGGGATTTTGAATGGGACAAGTTTTTTGTTTATTTGTTTTAAATGGGACTGTCCCTTGCATACCAGGGTATTTAGCATCTCTGGTCCCCAAGCACTAATTGCCCCAGTTGTTATGATTACACCAAAATTTGATTACACCAAAAACTCCAGAAGTTAGGGTAGAGTTGGTCCTGCTGCTGGTTGGAACCAATGACTTAAATGTATGGGCCCAGGAAAAGGAGTATTAAACAAAATTGCTTTGCTGGTTTGGTTATTTTGATATTAATGAAGGTCACAAGGTGGAGAAAGGAGTAGGTAGGGCAAGAGGAAGGAAGTGCCCGGGGTGAACCCTGCTCTGGGACGAAGGAGGCCACGTGGTCAAGGAAGGGAATGAGCACTGACCAAGGAGAGTCTTCGTGTATGGTCACTGCTGAAACCTGGAGCGTGGGCAAGGTCTGGCCTCACAAACTCACGCCTTTGGAGACCAGTCGGGTTTCATAGACAAGGAGAACAGCTGGCTCAGGAGGACAACGGGGGGTGCTGGGGCGAGAGTCAGCCGGAGATCCAGGCCCACTCCAACCAGATGTGTTCAGGTGGCAACGTGCGTCATTGGTGCCAGCCTTTCTAATATTTCAAGAGAATCTACAAGGCCAGATTGTTATAGGAAATCTCTCTATTGTAAATGTTGAATAAAAAAAAATAGTTTTAAATGTTAGGTAGGCCGAGAAAAAAATGCCTGCAGGAGCATTAGGGTAGTCTGTGACCTGTGAGGCAGGGTGTCTCTGGGGGGCCATTCCCATCTAAGGTGCCACAGCATATGCCCACCGTGCTGGTTGATGGGAGGGATGCAGGTTTCGGCACACACAGGAAGGAATTCAATCCCTGTCTGAGCTAGCAAAGCCGGGCAGGCTGGGCAGAGAAGCAGTGAGCATTCCCTGGGCGCTGGGCTCCACAGAGGCCTGGGGACCATCTGGCAGGGGAGCTGAAGCCAGGATTCCCGTGTAACCTCCTGTCCCTTCTGGATCTGAGATTCTGGAATTCTGGGGCTATGATTCCTTAAAGGCAGAGCTAGGAACACGAAAACTCTAGAGCCCGGCCCATGCCTATAGTGCTACCAGCTCAGGCCATTGGCAGTGGTTTCTTAGCTCAGTCCTGTCATTCCCACTGATGTGCAGAACTGGGGAAAAGAACTCACTTGAGTCCCTGCTCCCTGGAGGCCCTTTGCCTTGGTTCACAAGCAGTTTACAGTTTACAAACTCAAGCTGCTTTTATTCTCTCTCAGCCAGAGGGTCCTGGACACCAACTGCAGAGCTAAACAACCAATTTTCCACCCCAGCTGTTCAGCTACACTATGAGTTTAAATGCACTTTTCTTTAAAAACCATTGGGAGCTATCTCCTTCCCCTGTGCTCTTTCTCTCTGGTCAATCCAGCAGAAAGTAGGTAGTCAGGATGGCAGTACTTAACATGTGGAACGCTGGAGCCCATAGATCCTTCATTGGCTTCAACCCGCCTTCCGCTTTGGGGCTGTGACGGGATGTGCAACTTGCTTAGAATGAAACCCCAGCCCCCGTGTGCATGCTCTCCCTGTTCTCTGGGGAGGGGCCTGTGGGGCCTCTTGCTCTCTGGTCAGGCAGCACTGTGCCTTTAAAAGCAGAGGGTTTGCTGAGGTTCCCACTTGTAGCTGTGGGACAGTAGGATGTGGGGGAGGCAGCAGGGCTTTGCCAACCAAGCTCCTAGTGTGGAGGGCTTGGAAAACCAGGCTGCAAATGTGAGTATCTAACATGCTAGGAAATCTCCATTCCAATTCTCCAGATCTAGTCAGTCTTTGGCTTCTGAAGTCTGTAACCCCCTCCTTCCTGGCTCTGCGTACATCCCTACACCCAGGCCCTGGGGCAGGATCTCAAGAAGGGTGGTGGTCCCGAGCCCTGCTGCCTGTCTTCTGGCCTGTGTGCTAGCATAGGCCAGGTTTTACTGAGCCTCAGAAACTTCACTGCTACAGACAAGGAGGATGGTGTAGGTGAAGGCTGTCGCCAAGCCATACAGCACGATTCGCACAGGGAATCTGAGGCCAGCACCAGAGAAGGTGGTTTGCCATCTCTACTCCAGCTCCACCTCCTTCTGGAGTCCCCAGGAGTCAGTCCATAAGTCCTCATCTTCTTCTCCCTTCTCTATTCAGCCCTAGTATCTGGATGCCCTCCCTGTCCCAGTCGGCTTCCCATCCTCCACGAGGACAAGGGGAACTCTGACAGTCCTGGTTACCTAGAAGTATTGCTCAGGACTCGTCTTTTAGCTGACTTACAGCACAAGATTCCAGAGTTGTGGACAGGATCAGTGTTTCCAGACTTTTGGCTATCACAGATGAATAAAATGAAAAATAACAAAACACAACAGCAAAAACCATATATGTATATATATATTTTTAAGATGGGGACTTACATAGGGTTGCCAGCCTTTATTTCGTCAAATAAATACATTAAAAAAAAGAAAACTACTACCATGTATTACTACCATCCTTTCATAAAAGAGAGGACATTTTAATGCCACAAATGTGTGAAGGATATAATCTCCAATGAAAGACAGCCCTTTGAAATTATGTAGCTCCATTAGAGAAGCTTCCCTCATTCTTATTTACTAGTCTCATCCCAGACGTGACACCGCTGTTGCAGACGCCCTCGGGGTTGGCGCTGGAGGACTTGCCCTTTCCATTTTCTGTGCTCCTCTCTGTCTTTCCTGCTTTGTCACGAAAGGAGAATGATCAGAATGTTAGGAAAAGTTGTAAAAGACTTTGAAAGTTCAAAAAAGATTATTATTGGGTGCCCTGTCTTGTTTCTCTTTGAATTTTCTTTGCCTTTCTTGTCTTTGAGCTGTTTTACAACTCTGTAAATTGTAGAAAGCTGATAATAATGCAAATGATTTTGCCCATAGAAATGCAAATTGTGTCCAGTGGAGATGCAGCTGATTATTGCCCTGTGGCTATTGGCCAGTTTCGCATCTATTAAGTTAATTGCTGCATTCCTGACGGCTTATGTACGTCTGCTCTCTGGATTCTCCTCTGAGCAGTTACAACATCTTACTGGTTCCCTCAGCAATCGAGGAGTTAAGTTAAATCAGTGACGTGTTAATTTTATATTTGTACAAGGGTCTTTATTTTACCTTTAAAAAATTATCCTTTTACAATAACTACCTCTGCGGGTTGTGGTGAAGGTAGAATGAGGTCATGGATCAGTGAGCACCTGGCTTGGGATCTGGCATCCATAGCTGGGACAATCCTTGTTTCCTCTTGGTTTCTGAGCCCCAGGGCTCCCCGGGCCACCGAAGCGGAGTGCGCGCACTTAACTGCTACGCCACCGGGCCGGCCCCATAAACAGTCTTTTGATTAAACTTTTCACGTTACAGTAGTAGTGACTTTGACTTCCCAAGGATTTTCACATTTCAAAGGAGGATGGACTGTAATGGTGGAGATCCAGAGCGGTGCGGTACACAGGGGCTGTAGATGTTTGGGGCCATGTGCCTGTAAAATAATCTGTTCTGCTGGTATTCAGCTGCAGAGGACGGTTGGATTCCCCTCCCCTCACCCTCTCCCCAAAGCTGAAGCACCAGCCTTACCCTTCCAAGAATAGCTTCAACCCTGCACCAGGGTCTTAAAATATATACTTATTAAATCCTCTCCTCAGATCTGAAGGGTGGATATGTCTATTCCTGTTATTGACAAGGAACTAAGAGGTTAAATGACCTGCCCAAAGTTATGTCAATGCAAATAATCCCTAATCAATCTATAAATCAAAATTGGGGTGAGTTTATTATGAGCCAGGTCTGAGGACTATAGCCCGGGGCCTTCCTTCCCCAAGGAAGGAAGGGCACCAAAGAAGTGGGGTGTACAGAGTGGTTATATACTGTCTTGGAACAAAGAGCACACATCACATATGACAGGAATATCTCTTTTACTACTGTCATGAGATGCTTGGCTGGTATGGCAGGTCAGTGGTCAGCAGGTCAGTGGTCACAAGGTGAGCACAGCACGTCAGTAATTAATCCTTAGTTCCCAGGAAGAGATGCTTATCCTTAAAGAAATGCCAATGTGGGGGGAACCTACATCCCTATCTTTAAGGGCATCATTCTTGTCTTTGGGACATCGTAAATGTTTAAAGCAGATATACAATGCATGCTGGGTGGCCACATCAGGCCCTTTTGGAAAAACAAGGTCAGGCAGAATTAGTTTACACTAAATGTCTTCCTCATATGCTCCAATATATCCATTGCTTCTCATTTATTTATCAGTCATACAGCTAGGAAGTTGTTGTGCCAGGACTTAAATCCAGGGTCTGAATCCAGAGCTATGGATCTGAGCCATGAACTACTCCTTCTAGTCAACACTCTTCTGCCCCTAAACCTATCACCACTGCTAAAATCCACTGCCAAGTGGTACACCTGGGCACAGACATTTCTCCCCGTTAAAGTGGAAATGACCTGGAAGGCACAATACACTTGCCAAGAAAATAATGTCAGGAACAAATTGATCTGAACCTGGGAACATGTTTTGATCCAAGGATTAGGGCACAGGCAGAGGGGAGCAGTGGAAGGTAAGAAGGAAGCTCCCTCCAGCAGCACCCCCCTGTGCTCCCTCCGGCAGGGTCCTCTCCTCTCAGTGGGACTGAAGGCTTGAATGGATCTGACAAGAGAGGGAAGAAGCTGGGGAGGGTCAGAGGAGTCAGTCGGTGGGAGAGCAGTGAGCACTTTGGCCTCTTTCCTTGGATGGTGAGGGGGAAGCTACAGGGCATAGGAAGAGGAGCATGCAGGCCTCAGGAACTGAGGAAGGCCAAACCAGGCAGACGGCTTCCTAAAGGTTAACCAGCCATAGCCACGCCCTCCTCTGCACTGTGCCAGGCCGAGGAGACTCGTGGCCCTGGCCAGGTGTGGCAGGGCAGATGGATGCTGGGATGGCCTGGGGATCAGGGACAATGAGCCGGAATGCAGGAGGCCCAGGCACATGGAAGTCAGGTAATGGGTGTCTCGGTGATGGATGGGAGTTCCCTGGCAAGTGTGACCTTTCCCTCCACGGACCCAGTGGCTCCAGTGCCCCTTGTCAACCACTGATTGCTGTGTGATTAATGCACAAGTCACTTCTTCCCACCTCCTGTCCCTGCTCCATGCCCCCCCAGCTCCCGTGGTGGACCCCTCTGCACTTAGGTAATTTACCTGGGAATTATTATCCCTAGAATCTCTCAGTATGCTCGGTGTAGAGGTAGTGACCAGGGTCTGTGTGTGATTCCTCTGTGGAACTCTGACCAAGGACAGACTGACGAGTCACAGGACGAGGGAGAGACTGAAGTCTCTGCAGGGAGTGAAGCAGGGCCTGACTGAGCCCAGGCCCAGCCTGCAGGACTCGCCCCTTCCTTCCTGCACACTTATGGGCTCAGCAGAACAGTGAGTTCCCACATGGTGGTCCCTGACTGGGGCTGCCTGTGGCCCAATGCATTCCATGTGGGACAGGCAGCCTAACCCTGCTTCGTCCAGGAACTAGAGAACCGCACTTGCAGGAGGGGGAGGCCACTCTCCAGGCCCCACCACCAACACCCTACCAAATATAGGAAGCGGACGGTCCCAAATGAACATTCTCACTTATTTTCAATAAATACTTTCTTTACCTGGGCCTGGGGTCCCAAAACAAAGGCTGCGTATAAAAAAGGTTGAATGCTGATTTGGCTGCATGGACTTTATGACTTATAAGAGCAGGAAAGACAAAATCACGTGCTGTTAACAGTCATTCATTCAACAAACACTCATTGAGTACCAGACAGGAGAGAGGAATTGTTTGTGTTAATTCATTGGGAAGAGCATGACATCAATAATGCTTTATGCCTTTCATTCTTTCATGCTGTAGCAGAATTTATTTAATTATCTCCCACCCAACCCCCGACTTGCCTCCCTACCGTGCTGTGTAGGGCAGATGAAGAAGTTTTTGCTCAATCTGAGGAAGCTTTGTAAGGTAAAGGGTGGAACAAATAGAGTACACAGCAGCTGCAAAGGCTGGAGGTGCAGAAGAGAAGGCGTGTGGTCAGTGAGGGTTGTAGCTTTGTAAGGTAAAGGGTAGAACAAATGTTCTATTTGCAAAATAAGGCCGGGATTCTGAGTTCTTGAGAGAGTCAAGTTGTGATGGTTGGAGGAATGTGAATTCCTCCAGTAGACCAAATGGGAGCTTTGAGAAGAAATTAGTCTTCTGGTGGCAAGGTGTATCTGACTTAAGACTTTTTAGGAGGTAGCCAGCTGCTGTGAGGATAGGAAGCCTGCATTCAGAGGGCTAGAGATCCCCTCCTGCAAGGAGCGCTGAGGCCAGAGCTCAGCCCTGCCCTCTGCAGAGCCTGCAGGCATCTCTCTCCTGGTTCCACATGGAGGACAGAGGCTTCCCAGGATGCCCAGGTGCGTACTCCCTCATTGCCCAGGTCTCCCCATTCTTTCCCTCCACGCTCCTCCCTGACTTAACCCCTCCCTCACTGATGGCCCAGTCCTCCCCACTCTCAGATGTGGCCTTGTAGGACAACGCACAGGGCATGATCCTGGGGAGCAGCACCAGGCATGGCCCATCTGGCAGGATAAGGGACTCACACCACTGCTTTGGAGCCCTTGCCGGCCGGCCCAGTGGGCTGTGGTCATGACAGTGACATCATGAGCTCTTCTCGTCAGATGTTTACAGATATTGGCTCATCACAACAGCCCTGTGGGTCAGGTACTGTTACCACCCAATTTGACAGATGAGTAAACTGAGGCACAGATAAGTAATGACTTGCCCAGGGTCACACAGCTAGCAAATGGTGGCACAGGGTCTTGAATCTGGGCAATTTGCCTCCAAAGTCCACACACTTAATAACTATCTATTCTGCCCTGCTAGATGAGCAGTCTCTTCTGTTAGACTCTTTGGATTGCAAGTGACAGAAACCCAGCCCAAGGATACTCTGGGCCGAGGACACAGCATCTGCAAAGGCTGGAGGCGCAGAAGAGAAGGCGTGTGGTCAGTGAGGGTTGTAGGTTACTGGAAACAGAGGCGGAGGGAAGTCACAGGACGGATCTTCAGTTGGGTCAGGTGCACGGAGGCAGGGGGCTCACTGCAATGACCCTGAGCTAAGGACACCAATTGTCTTGTCACTGATACTGGGGGTGAGGACAGACATGAGGAAGCCAAGCGTGGCCTGGAACCCAGGGCTCTCCTTGGCCTGCATTCCTCATATGCCCTTCTAGTCACTGCTCTCCTCTCATTCCTCATTTATTTTCTGTGGTTTTCCAAATCTTCTTTTGCTTCTGGCTCCCCTGGAGAACTGAAGAGAGCGTTGAACTGTCTGATCTGTCCCCCTTTCCAAGAGGGGCTGTCTGTGCTGTAGATAAGTGTGCAACTTGACACCCGTCCCCACGCAAGGCCAGGCCGGTTCGGTTCCTTCAATTAAAGGTTCAGTAGGCGGGGTTGCTAAGCCAGGCATTGGGAGGGGTGAGGCAGGAGGCAGCAGAGGTGGCAGCCTCCTTTCCTCAGGGGTGTGGCCCTTGATGTGTCTTTGTCCCCTTTGCATTCCCCGTCCCACCTGCCAGCCTGGAAGTCTGAGTTCTGAATGCACACAGTGAACTGACTTAGAAGATGGAGCCCCTCCCCCACATCTACCCACCACCTTGCTGGATGTGGATATGGAGGGGGACAGGGCGGCCTGGTGACCTGGCCAAGAGCCTATCGGAACTTGAGTGAGTGGCTTCGCCTCCTGCTCCTGGTGTGAACTTGAGTAAGCCATTGAACCTTCCTGGGCTTGTGCAATAGCCTTAATGTGCCGGGCAAGGTGACTGCTGACTGCTCCTCCCAGCCTTGTGCACAGGGGGCAGCTAAAGGACAAATGGAACAGAGAGGAGACCCAGCAAGCAGAGGCCCACGTCGTCTGCCCCTGAGACGCCCAAGTCAGAGCGCTCCCATGCCCCCAGCAAAGGGTCCAGCTGCAAGAGGCTTCCAGATGTTTACCTCGAATCTGTTAGACTCCTGCGGCTGAGCAGGGGGTGCAGGGAGGAGAGGGGAGACTGGAGATGACACAGTGGCAGAGCAAGTGGGGGTGGGTGGCGGTGAAGACTGTGGGTCAACACACTTGCTAGATATGGGCAAGGCTGCTATGCATACAGCCTCTTCCTTCCCTCCCCTCCAGCTAGCTGCAGTGCTGGCGACCAGGAGTGGAGGGACAGGAGACAGATCCGCCTAGAAGGCAGGAGGCAGAGTGGTGGGGGGCAGGGCAGAGAGCACTACTACCAGCAGGTATCCCTGGGGCCTTTGTGTAAGAAAACGGGGTCCTGGCTGGAGATTTGGCCTTACCCCACCCCTGCTGAGTGCCTGGGGACCCCTGAGAGTCAGGGGAGAAGGGATTTTGGGGACCTCAGGGACAACTGCTTCATTCCACAAGTGAGCAGTGGAGACCAGGAAAGGGACGGGGGTCAAAGTCTCAGAGCTTGTCAGTTGTGGAGCTAAGAACCAGGTCTACTCCCCAAGGGTTTTAGACGTTTCTGATCATCTCCCAGAAGCATCGCCCTCAAACCTAACCAATACCGGAATTAGGGAGGGTGGCTCTAGGTATGACTTCTGATCACTGGCGCCTGCAACCCTTGTCTATTAGAGGTAACTGTACATGGTAGAGGCCAGAGTGGACCTGCTCTGGGCTCTGCTGCTCGCTTGCTGTGTGACCTTGGCCAAATCATCTCCCTTCTCTGGGCCTGGTTTCCTTGTCTGGTGTCATTACACCTGCCTTCTTGTGCTTTACAGGGTCAGAGGCTAAAATGGGACCATTCTTTCTTTTCAGACATCTACAATTTAATTACAGACAAATTCATGACCCAGCCCGATGGGAGAGATTCCTAAACATACCCATAAAATCTAGGTGGTCTGGGCTTCACTAACCCACAGCCTTTTTCTAGGATCCCGGGAAGGGCCTGAAGACCAGCCGGAGGCGCGGGGCCTGTGAGAGGTCTGAGTGATGCACCCTGAGCGCACCCACCTGGCAGAGAAGCACTACAGTTTTATGGCTCCTAGAGGGAAAAATATTAGCACACAAAATTGGGTTCTCTGCCCCAGGTGCATAAACAAGCTAGTTAATGACGGCATCAGCTCTTGGGAAAAGAGATCAGCTTTATTTTGCGAGATCGATCTGCAGGGAGAACAGGGGGCATGTGCCCTCAGATCTGTCTCCCCGATTCAGGATTTGGGGTGAAATTTAGGAGGTTAGGGAGAACAGGTTGGGATGTGGAAATGCTGGCGGGACAGGTTTTGATTGGTGGGCTTCAAGCATTTATAGTAAGGTTTTAAACATTTATGACAGGGTTCTAAACATTTATGATGGGGTGGGGAAGGAATTTTAACACTGGCTCTTCCTGAATGAGGGACCCCTCGCTTCTGATAAGATTCTGACTTTCAGATTCCGATCGTGTCCCAGTCCTTGGGTTCTGTGGGAGGGAGGATCTTTGTTCATTTCGGATCATGATTTCTTCTTTTGCACATGCCCTGGCTATGTGCAAATTTTGCAGATTTTCTGAAAGCCACTTCTTTTTTTTTTTTTTTTTGAGGAAGTTTGACCCTGTGCTAACATCTGTTGCCTATCTTTCTCTTTTTCTTTTTTCTACTCAAAGCCCTAGTACATTGTTGTGTATCATAGTTATAGAGTTGTAGCTCTTCTATGTGGGACGCTGCCTCAACATGGCTTGATGAGTGGTGAATAGGTCCGTGCCCAGGACCTGAACCGGCAGACCCAGGGCCCCGAAGCAGGAACGCACGAACCTAACTGCTACACCACCGGGCCGGCCCCTAAAAGGCAATTCTTACTTCTCTGTTGATAAGATATGGGGTCAGTTGAACTGGTCCTGGAGGGCCTGTGGTTACAAAAAGAATTCACATTTATGGAGAGGTTTTTTCTTTGTTTGTTCTAGGTTCTCCAATGTGTTATTTAGGTGTCACCCTCTCACCAGTTACTACTGTTGTCCCCCTTTTATGCAAGAGGAAACTGAGGCTTGGATAAAGTAAATACAGCAAGTCACACAGCTGGTAAGTGGCAGAGCAGGACTCAGACAGGGTTTGGTGGGCTCCAGAGAGCCTTGCTGCACACAGCTTCACCACCCTGTGCCTCTCCTGGCCCTGAGGCTGGGGCTAGAGGGAAGCGCTGCAGAGGCCTCAGGGCTCCCTGTGGACCTGGAATGGCTGCTGCCCTCAGGGAGCCAGGGCAGGCTGGGAACTCTCTTCCCTGAAGGAATAGACTGAATGGGCCAGGGCTGGGGGGAGGACTGGGGCCTGCCACAGGCTTTGCCAAGGCTCCTTAATGAGGCAGCGCTCAAACCACCCCCTCCTTCAGGAAGCCTTCCTGGTTGCACTTCCACAGCGTGTCGCCCAGGCCCCTCTTATGGCACATCTTTATGTTAATATGTTTATGTTATTGTAGTTTGTAGGAAGTAAAGTTATGCTAGGGCTTCTCACTCCTTCCCCTGCAAACTCCTTGAGGGCGGGGACTCCAGTATGGATTGCGTAAGTCACCTAGTAGAGGCCTTGCAAAGAATAGCAGGTGATCAGTGAATATTTGTGGAATGAACTATTAATAATGATCATTCCTAAGACTGGCAAAAGTGATTTCAGGGACATTATCTTATTCACCCATTCTGTCAAATCCGTCCACATTTACTGGGTCTACGATAATGTGCCTAGCCGGCACTAGGTTCCAGGGACACAAAGACACGTTAGACACCGTGTCTGTGCACAGGGAGCTCATGGTGGGGTGGGGGTTGACGAGGGTCAGAGACTAAAAAAAGCACAGAATGAAACAAAAACTGAAAACGCAGAAAATTGCAGTATTTGCAGCTAATAGGGGTCAGCACAGGTGCTAGCGGAGCCCAGAGGAGAAGCCCCCAGCCCAGTCTGTGTGTGCGCATATGTGTGTGTGTGTGTGTGTGTGTGTGTGTGTCAGGGAAGGCTTCCAGGGCAGAGGAAGCAGGTGCGGCTTTGTGGGCCAGGCAGGAGCGAGTGTGCCAGGGGAAGGGGGTTCACATCTGGGAGAGTGTGGGGTGGGGAGGGGGTGCCAGGAGCCCGTTTGGGGTGACTGCAGGATGCTCAGTAGTTCAGACAGCAGCTGCCTGGTGTGGGGAGGGGAGTTTTGAGGAAGGACGAGGCGGAAAGCAGGAAGAAGGGCAATAACACCTTTGGTTTGAACGTCCCCGTCTGTTCTCTCAGATTAGCCCACAAACAGCAGCAGCGGCGGCAGCAGCAATGTTGCGCATTTGCTCTGCTCCAGGCTTCTTCTCAGGGCATCTGTGTGTGTTACCTTGTTGGCCTCTGTCCCCAGCCCGAGTAGTGGGCACGGTTACCACCCCTGTAAGGAAAGTGATACTGAGGCACTGAGAGAAATGACCTCTCCAGGAGGGAGGAGTGGGCTCTGTAGCTCTCCACTCTACAACTGAGGACATGGAGGCTGGGGGCATCACGTGGCGTGCGTCTGGTCCTGTGACATTTGGTAGACTGGGGACTTGCACTCAGGCCTCTGGGCTCCCGGCCTGGTGCTTCGCCTGAGGTTTCTCCGCCCCTCAGGACAAGATGTCTGAACCAGAGCAAACACCAGGCTGTGAGTGGAAATCAGCTGCCCTGGTGTTTTTCCACTAGTGAGCTTCTGCCTCCACACTGAAGGGGCCGGACGGCCCACCAGGAGCGGGGGCCTGGGCCTGAGCCGGCACTTTACCCAGTCAGCCAGCTGTTTGGGGTGCAGAAGCCGTTCCTTGCTCCTCGGTACACACTGCCCCACTCTGGGCGTCCGGTCTTGTTCCTTCATTCTGTTTGCAAAGTTGATCCAGCTATCCCAAATCCTGAGAGACTAGAGTTCCACTTCTGGGACTTCCATTCCCTCCACACCCTCTTGTCCCCGGCTTCTCGGTCACCAAGGAAGCAGGAGACTTTGTGCTGGTTTCCTTGGGCCAGGATGTGAACAGGATGCGACTCAGCCCTGCACCCCCCTGACTTCCTGCTCTCCTCCACGTCCCCTGGCTGTGGTCTGCAGCTCAAACAGTCCCCTCTGTACTTGCCTCTCACTGTTTCGAACCTTCTCTAATGGACTTCCCTCTGGGGAGCAATGTGCTCCTTCCTGGCCGTAGCTGCAGCTGTTCCAGCCTGCATCAAAGTACTCTGCTCTCTAATCCCCAGTTTCTTAGCTGGTTTTTGCTTTTCCCTCCCTTCCTTCCTTCCCATGGGGAGCACCACGGTGACAGTGCCCCTGGCCCCGCCATCTTCCCTGACACTACAAAGAACTAACGCTGGCCCTCCAACAGGATGCCCGGTCTGTGGCCTACCTTGCCCCTGCACGTCCCTTTCTACTCTCTGGCTCTCTCAACCCTAAAATCTTCCTTGGTGATCCCGTTTGCCACCTTACGTGGTTCTGGAATGACCCCTGTCTGCCTGCTCCTCACACTCACCAATCCTCAGCCACTGAGACAGGGAGCAGAGTAGACAGGTAACTGGTTCTCAGGGTCATGGATCTGGTTTGAATCCCGGCCACTGCTGACAGCCATGTGACCCTGACTTTATTTCTTTGGGGTGTTGTGCAGAGATCATGAGGTCCAAATTGTAAGGCATCTAGTACTCACACAGCAAGCTTTCAACAAACGGTAGCTATTTAGCTATTCATAACGAAGCCTTTTCAAAGGGTTTCTATGATAGTGAATTTGGAATTGGTTGGAAACCGCATGGGGACGGGGCCTTGTCTATTGTTCACAACGTCTGGTACATGGAAGGCCCTTGATGTAAAGACTTATTTTTGGATGAATGAATAAATCTATCCTGTCCTCAATTCTGATTTTAGGATTCATTTTTACTACTAATTTTTCTTAATTATAAAAGTAATACATATTTCATGTAGAAAAATTGGGAAATATTTTTAAAAACTAGGGAAATAAAAACTAGCTGTAATCCTACCCCCTAGAGACAGCCATGGTTAATGTTTTGATATATTTCCCTGCAGCCTTTTTTCTGTGCTTATATATATTTCAAAATTTTTATATTCTTGTTTTTCAGTTAAAATAATGAGCATTTCCCTGTGTTATTAAATAATCTTCACAAACATAATTTAAAGTGCTACATATATTATTCTGTGATATGAACATATCATAATTTATGTAACCAATATGCCATGGTTGGATATTTAAGTTATTTCAACTTTTCACTGTTATAAATAAAGCTGAAATGAACATCCTTCTGCATAAATCTTTGTGTATATCTCTGAATTAAGATTTTCTACCAAGAATAAATTCTGCAAAGTCAGTTACCAGGTCTAGGAGTGATTGTTTTAAGGGCCCTGATATACATGTTGTTAAATGACTCTCAGAGAGGCTGCACAAATTCCTGGTCCTCCCACTCTCTGGGGATGAGGATTCTCCACCAGAATATTCGCATCCAATATAAAAGTCTTTGCTGATGGAGAAGTGAGACATGGAACCTGCTTTATGTGCTGACGCTCCTGCCTGAGACACGGGTGGTACAGGCAGCCCATGCCAGCGTGTCTCCACTGAGGCACTGTCGACATGCGGACTGGAAAATTCTCTGTTGAGGTGGCTGTCCCGGGAATTGTAGGATGTATAGCAGCACTCATGGGCTCTACCCACTAAATGCCAGTAGCACTCCCAGCCCCCTAGTGTCTCCAGATATTGCAGAATGTCCCCTGGGGAACAAAATCACCCCTGGTGGAGAACCACTGAGTTACGCTGTATTAACTCTGTTGGTTGCAAGTAACAGAAACCAACACTAAGCAAAAATGGGGACTTTGTTAGAAGTCCAAGGACAGTCCTCTGTCTGCCCCTGGGATTGGGACCCCTCTGATGCTTCCCCTGGGGCTTCAGGGAGATGGGTCTGGTAAGGCAGGCAAACGCCATTATCTCAGGCTCTCCACAGAGCAGACGGTTCTAGGACTTAACTGTCCCCAGGACGGACAGGAATGCACTCCTCCTCATCTCTCAGACTCACAGGGAACACTTTCAGGGGGAAAAAGTCCTCCCTTTTTTTAAGAAAAGTAATTGCCCCACGTTTTGACCCCAGGCAATGGCCATGTAGAGGACATCTTGTAGATGGGATAATGCAGTCAGTAAAACTGACACCACACAGAGCGCACGTGACGTGGGAAAGCACTTATGTGGGGCGTTGTAGAGCTGTGGCCCCTGCTCCGCCAGCCCCTTGGATCAAGAGGGACTGGCAGGGATTGCTCAGGAACTCTTAGCTGTGTGAAAACCTGCCACCACCTGGGACCGAGGACCCTGGGGTGGGGGCCTCTTCTTAGGGAAGGCAGAGACGCTGCAGTGCCAGGGGGAGTGGGGGACTGGAGCAGGAGGCACGGCGAGGCACGAAGGGGTGGCAACTCGAAGCAGAGGAGAGGACAGAGGCAGCGCTGGGCCCAGGCTGGGGGCGGGGAGGGGGAGAAGGGGGAGGGGAATATGGGGAGGAATTGGCTGTCTTTGGTCCAGGACTATTCCGGGTGAGGCACAGCTTCGCCTCCCTCAGCTGGTAATGGACCCTAATGAGTTAGAGTCTGAAATATTCGTTCTCCCTCTTCTTGCTGAGGCAGCTGAGTACGGGGCCTTGCCTCTCAAGTGTTCGTGGGAGCAGAATATAGAATTCCGTCTTCACCAAGATTACAGTGAGTAAAACCACATGCACGTGGATGCGGACAGGGAGGGCGCACAGGAAGTGGACACGGGCTTGCTGGGGCGGTGGAAGGGCGTCTGCTTATTTTCAGATCTTTTCCCCATTTCTCTTTCCGTATCAAGATGTGTACTCCATTTGCACGTCTCCATCTCCATCTCCACCACATCCACACCCACTTCCATGCCCCTGTCGCTGTCCATTTCATCCCTCCACTTACACTCACACCTGTATTTATGGACTGGTTGACAAGCTCCCTTCCTGCCCCAGGTAAATGCTAGCTTCCAGGAGTTAATGAAGTCAGCAGTATTCATGCTGGGCCTCGTCTCTCCTCCCTCCTGCCCTCCCCTCTCTTCTCCCTTCCCTCACCTTCTCTTTCCCTCCCTTCTGTCCTCCCCTCACCTCACAGCTCCTCTGTATCCCTTGTCCCTCAAGCTACTCCCCTCTCTCTGTCCCACTCTCCGTCTGCCAAACCCACTGCCACCTAAACTTTGGGCCCTGAAGTCTGACCAAGATTTCTTTCCCTGAGAGGCGGAGCCCTCACTGCCTGCCTTTTTTTTGTGTGTGTGTGTGTGTGAGGCAGATCAGCCCTGAGCTAACATCCGTGCTAATCCTCCTCTTTTTGCTGAGGAAGACTGGCCCTGAGCTAACATCTATTGCCAATCCTCCTCCTTTTTTTTTTTTCCCTTTTTCTCCCCAACGCCCCAGTAGGTAGTTGTATGTTATAGTTGCACATCCTGCTAGTTGCTGTATGTGGGACGTGGCCTCAGCATGGCCCAGCAAGCTGTGGGTCAGTGCGCGCCCGGGATCCAAACCCGGGCCGCCAGCAGCGGAGCACGCACACTTAACCGCTAAGCCACGGGGCCAGCCCTACTGCCTGCGTTTTGATGGGAATTGGGTAGAGGG